TTAAAACGCTACAGTGGCAATAATGAGACTACCTGATTAGAGAACTGGGTTGTTGGTGACGCTATTAAATGGTAGCAATTAAGGGGTGCTCCAATTATCTTGCCAATACCTTTTTGGTCCTCCCGGAAAAAGTCTACGCAATGACGTTGAAAGCGAGCTGCTGCAGAATTATTCATTCTAGGATGTTGGTGAAGCAGACCGAAGTACCTCTGACCAGAATTTCGCCTTAGGTTGTTAGGCTGTTAAGAAATCATGGGAGTTTGCTCGTTCAATCTACATGCGCTTGGCTGACCTGCGGAAAACCTATGACCGAATCCCGCGCAATAATCTGTTGGCGTGCCAGCGAATATGTGGGATCGATGATCTGTTGCTAAGGGCTATCCAACCAATATCTGACAGTCCAAATTCTGCGTCAGAGTAAGCGACGTTGAGTACGGATTATTCAGCGATGGTACTGGTGTCCGCCCAGGCTGCGTTTTGTCCCCTCTTCTATTTGTCTTGTACATGGGTAGAATAGTAAAGACCAGACGAGGCGATGGGTTTAGCCGTGTAGGAGATGTTGCGATGAAGAGTTTGCTGTTTGCAGACGACCTTGTTCTGTTAACATGTTCTGCAACTCATCTCCAGCACCTTCTGGAAAGGTTCATAGCGCGATGCGACGTGACCAACATCTAAGACCAGCATACCAGTGCTCTGAAGTTCTCCTGCCCGGAAAAGCAGTGGAGCAGATTGAGAAGTTCCTCTGAGTGGTGCTTACTGGTGATAGAATTTTGAGGAAGAGATCGACCGGCAGTGACGTTCTGCGCGAACTAGCCCGAACCACTGTGACCAAAGCAGATCTGAGTCTGAAAACTAAGCTCTCGGTATTCAAGTCAATTTTTACCCCCATGCTTACCTGCGGTCACTAATAGTGAACCATGACTGAAGAACCATTGATCGAACCCTGGTTCATGTGGTCGAAATGGGCTTTCTGAGACGAATCCCTGAGCTCTCTTGGCTCGGCAAGGTCCGCAATTAGCATATGCTAGTGAACCTTGGTGTATAACCGCTGTTTATGCGATAATTTTGGCCCGTTTTGCGAATACTTCCGTATAGTAAAGCTAGACAGGTGATACATCCTCAACCGACCATTCGAAGCCTATGAACGACCAAGAATGATTTGGAGCAAGTACCCTTCTCTGGATTTTGGTTATTTTTTTCTGAGCCCTAAACGCTGGCACACGACAGTGGGCGTTGGTGGCTCCGTCTGACTTGTCTGCTTCCGCCACCCGAAAGGATAAGCGGTCATGGAAATAGACTGACTGCTTTACTAGGGTTAAATTTCAAAATTTCTGCCGTCTGTACGGTTCCACGAAGGGGTTCACTTTTGGTGCCGTGCATATTGACAGGGTTTATATTGTGGCAGTAATTTGTTTACTGTGTTTGCACGAAACAGCCGTGAGAAAAGTTGTGAGGGAAGTTGTACTCGCAGATCTGATGCAACCGCTCTCTGTACTCTTCGTGTCCTTTCCGGTTTCATGGAAATCAGGTGTTTACCTTGAAATTGAATAAGGCAACTAGATCAATCGACTCTTGTACCCGTGAGATGTCGACTGTGAACTGCATTAAATACATCGTTAGGTACCACGTAAACGGATATCTTCCGGAAACATGCCATTATTCAGTTTTTCAGTTGCTGAGCGATTCCTGATATTCTGTTCCATTTTGTCACCTCAGGCACTTCTTCTGATTTGTTATAGTAAATCCCGATATCAGAAGCTATTAATGAAGCCGCCGTAGCGTCTCAATTCTTTTTGTGTATATTTTTTAACGAGTAGAGGAACTGTAAAATTCTGCCTCTTCCGTTTCTGTTCCAATATGAAGGTATTAGTCTGAGTAATATAGGTTTTTTTCGTCTCATAAGTCCACGGGCGATTCTCGAAAACCATTGATTTCGATCAATTTCAGTTTTTCTGAACAAAGTAAAGTCATCATGAATGTTGTAAAAGTCAAATAAACCTCATGCGTTCTTTTGGATTCCAGAAAAAGCAGTGATGGATTGTTGAAGCAGAAAGTTTAAAATTTTCCTGAAAAAGTTACCGATGATGAAATTCATACAAACCGCCTTGTTCTGAATGAGAAACTCCGGTTAAAATAACAGCAGGAGGAATAAGTAATTCGTTTTCGTGCCGACTGTCTCATAGTTCAATTTCTTTAATTCTTTATATCATGTTTGAACATTGTAGAATGAATGTGAGTACCTCAGAAACATTTTCGAGAGCAAACACGTCAGTGACTTAAGCCAAATTGCGTGTACTTTATCCGGATCTGGCGCTTTCCAGTTTTGCGTTTTCCTGACCGCTTGTCGAACAATTTTTCCCATGATCCGTCGATTTTGCTTTTCAGTGGATTTCGTCCTGTTTTTATTTTTCTTAGCCATGCAGGATCATGGTTTCTCCTGACATAACTTCAGACCTCTTCGCTACGGTAAGAGCCGTCACATAAATTACACCATTGATGCATTCGAACCCACTGTTTGACAAATACTTACACACACACACACACACACACACGCACACGGCTTGTCGTTGCCTCTGATTGGATGGATTTCATCTTCTACATTCGTGAGACATCGAAAGCCCTGAAGTTTGCACTGTAGAAATTTTAGTCCTTATGCAGCCAGATGTTTTCTTTCTTTTCAGCGATTGCCAGACGTTGGGTAATATTCGCTATGCGGAAAGATTTCAGTATCAAGTGCCCTTCCGATGTTATCCAGTTTCGGCTGTCTTAGGGGCATGTTGTTTTCAATAAGCTGTTCATAGTTCGTTAGAAGTCGCTTGCTCGTTTGCTTCACAACTAGGTAACAACACCTCAGTACCTCTTTTCTCTTTTACCTCAGCCTATGCACTCAACAAGCTCAACCGTCCTCGGTTATCCGTTCGTTCGTCGGTTCGTTATGGATGTTGCCTAATGACACTGCCTTGAGCGGCTCCAATGACGCAGCGTATCGCTGCCTGCATACTGCTTTCGTAATGATTGCGTATTAACATGCATCGTAGTGAGAATAATTCTGTTCCCATCACAATTACCAGTTGGCCTATTCCGACCCAGTGAAGTGGTCTTCTGT